GATACCTCTTACCAAGTCTACTTGCAAGTATGAAAAGTGAAAATGGTGGATGATGAAGATGATGTTACAGTGATGAAACAGGTCTTTAGATCACTTATATATGATGTATATGAAGTGTTTGGATGATTTGTTTGGACACAAGTTGCAAGAGTGATGAGTTTCGAAGTTAAGGTTTCAAAAGCTTAAAAAATGGAGGTTTTTGGCCAATTCTGATTTAAGAGAGATTGGGGGTGTTTTTGGAGCTGTTAATTCGTGCTTTGGCTTGCAAGTGACCTCTTTATTTATAGAGAAAAGTTTTGAGGGAAAGGGTTGATCAGGTTTGCAAGTTATCAAGTTTTGGCTTGGTTGAGATGTAACTTGTGATTTCTTGAGAAATCAAAGTTCCAATGCATAGTACCATGCCTTCTAGAGTGGTTAGGAGTTGTAGACATGTTGCTTTTTACTTTTATGCTTAAGTGTGATCAGAGGAAGCAATGTATGGGCTCAAGGAGTTGACATTTTGATTAAAGTCAATTTACAAGAATGGAAGTGTTAGCTTTCTTCCTTAAATGGCAAGTAAGCTTGGACAAAGCTTGAATCACTTGGATAATGGTTCAAAAGTGTGTGCAACCTTCTGACTATGGATAGATTTGGAGGTTTAAAGGCCTGCAAAGTGAGATTATGCAGCATAGTTATGAGATTTGGTCATGAGTTCATCACAAAAGTGACCTATAATTCATGTTTGACATGCCATCTTCATCTCTTCGAAACTTCTAGCTCAAGCATGATAAATTTTTGTTCTAGGACATTTTGGAAAGCTTGAAACATTATTTACAACTTTCGTGTTGATCACTTTGGCTAAATCAAACGGGAAATTGGCCAAGAAGTTGGGATGAAAAACAAATCAAAACTTGTTGAAAATTTTTCTGTGTTGGATAAAAATAATCAGAACCTCATGGGCCTATATCTCTTAATCCAAGCAATTTTTGAGGATCATCCCACATTGACAAAGTTGTATAATTCATTAATCCCTACAACTTTCATGTTGAAAGTTTTCCTTGAATCAACTTGGATCTTGAGGAAACTTGCTTGTGAAGTTAGGGTTTTTTAGGTACAAAACACTTGAAATTTCAAAGTGTTTAAAATTCTTTCAACTTTGACTTTTATTGATTTTCTTGATTCTTGATGATCAAGTTTGATAGTTTTAAATGTTTTGATGATTCTTGATTTTTCAATTCCAATATTGACCAAAAAGTCAAAGTTTGACTTTTGTGTGGCTGTAGACTTTTTATCAATTGATTCAATTTATTCAACTATCAATCACTTGTATCTTTGTAAATGTCTTGAGGAATGTAATTAGGTCAAGATGTTGTATTTGAGCCCTTGAGATCATGCTTTAAGCCATTAGGTCATACACTAGGTCAAAAGTCAATGATCAGTCATCTTCAGTTAAAACCCTAATTTGGCAGTTTTTTGACCTTTGATGATTTGAGGGCTTTCCTTGAGGAATAAAGATTAATCCTTAATCAAATGATGAATATCACCTCAAAATGTTGATGTTGATAAAAAATCTTGAAGTTTGACTATATGTTGACCACAATAGACTTTTACTAAACACAGTTGATTTTCAATCATCTGAGCCATTGACTGAGCAAACATGTGAGACAAGACCTGAAACTTGACATAAGCATTATTGAGAACCTATAATGAACCATGAAAGTCATTTGAGACCTTTTCAAACAAATCTTACTTGTGAAGCACAAAACCCTAGTTGAATACCCTTGCTTAGGAGGAGGTTTTGACTAGTCAACTCTTGAGTAGTTTTGAGTATTTGAGACCTTGTGAGAATGTCTTGAAGAAAACGAGAGGGCAAATTTTGGGGTACAACACATGCTATATCAGTTATGTTACTAGGAGCATTTTTGGGTAGTTTTTTCTGGTGTGGTGGTGCAATTGTAGGGGGCAGTGGGAGCACCAGCAACTAAAGTTCCAACGGCAGAACTTGAAGCAATTGGAAAATTGTTGAAATTAATTTTAGCGTGAGAGAGAAAATAGAGAAGGGAAGGTTATTTTTGTTAGAATAATAATGCAAGTGTAAGTAAGTGGGAAAATAGTCTCACATTGGATAGGAATATGGTGACTTGAGAATATATAAGTGGGCAAACTCACTCACCTATCACCTTAAGGTTTTAGGTGGATAAGTGGTGTGTCTCTCACAAAGGTGCATACTCCTCAACTTTGTATCAATGCTCCCTTATAAACTCCCCCCAACAGTTTTTAACGTGAGAGAGAAGATAGAAAATGAAATATTGAGTGAGATAATAATTGTATTTAACATGAGAGATGTCTAATGTGAGATGATATTTAACGTGAGATAATTGAAGTGAATATATGTATTTTGGGAAGTTACACTAATCATGGTGTATTTTGGGAAGTTGAATAAATGTTTGATTATTGGGTGGGTGGATATTGATTACTCCTTATTATTAATCAGAAACAATTTAAAAGTCAAGGAGATAAGAAATGTTTCACATTTCAATAAAAAATAAACAATTTTTAGGGTTTTTCTGAACCGGGTCGCGAACCCGACCCACAAACCCAATTTTCAGAAGGCTTTAAACAGAAACGACAGTTCTTCTCAAAAAAAGGAGATTCCACCGATTTCACATGATATCACGGTGATTCTGGTCTCGCCTACCGAAAATTGATTTTGGATATTCTCTAGCATGGTGGGGAGTTGCAAGATCCCAAAATCATACGATCCTATAAGTGGAATTGTGATTTTGACTATCATGGCAACAACAACCATGACATCAACGACATAAAAAAAAAAGACACCAGAGATATTGATAGTAACAAAGAACTTTGGTTCAAACAATAATCCCCTTAGACACCCTGTAACTATGCTAGGGTTGCCTTGATGATAGTTGAAGTGAAAGAGAGAATAAGGTTTTCGAACCATGCTCGAAATTCCAACTTAAGTCTAAATATTTTCTTATTGATGTGAAAAAGTTTCAACAACTATTAATCTAAATAGGAATCTAATCTTGTCATAATTCTAAAGGATATTGACAAATAATACTACTATAAATATCAATATCTCAATTAAACAATTTCTACATGTTACCTTAAAATTTCTTTAAGACATTTTTTGCATTGTTAGTAGGAAAACTCTGTGAACTGAAAGAAAAGTGCCTTCCAGGAGTAGGGACTTTAAGAAGATTAGAGTCAAGAAAATGATAGCTGGAAAATTCTTATAAAGAATTAAAGGGAGATCGACGAACAAAAGAGCAAGTAGTCGATTTTAGTTCCGTCGACAAGAATGGAATCCAAGACTTAGAGAATTTGGGTTATTTGTCTATGACAATGGTTGATGTCGAAGCAAACTTATAGGCGGGATAGATTTTAAAATTTGAATATGACAGCGGTTGTAAGAAATTTCCTGATCAATGCGCCAACTACGTGGCTAAATCTGATGAAACTGTTTTATTAAGCCATATACGTGTCAGATTAGTATTATGTTGAAATGCATGTTCAGTTATTATGTAACTACTATAAATAAAAGAGTCTAATATAGGATTCAATGTCTTCATTTTGTATTAAAATCACGTGCAAAACTCCATATTTTCAAACGTAAGGAAGCAAGAGTTCAAGAGTGTTAATGTACGTGAATCACCACATTTATTTCAATGCAGACTCCTTTCTTTTGAATTGTGCCCTTTAAATCTTTTGCTTGCATCTTATTTACTTTTGAACAATCTTTTTATATTGTCATTTACGTTGTTGAATCTCATTGCATTACGATACTGGAATTCACTGAGAGTTCACTCAACATTTACTTCATTTAGGACAAGCCCTAGTCTTCTGTCGATCACGAGTCACCTTCAGTCGGTCAATTCATAACATATTTGTGGAAAACTTTTACTTATTCTCTTATTTAGAGAAAAATTGTTTCTCACAAAGTAAGACATTGCGTTGACAGAACAAACCCTATTTCATTTTATTAGCACATATCTTAGAATTAATTAGTCGATCTTGCGAGTAACCCTTAGTTTTAAGCTTTGGGAGGGCTAGCGGTTATTTACCATTTTCTACGGTAAACACCACCCTACAAATAACTATGAGGTAAAATAAGAGGGATAACTCAACTTATTTGAAACAAGTATGTAAATATATACTGCCAATTAACAATTAATAATTTGTCATTAAAAATAACTCTATGATCCCTAATAAAAAGCACAAGAGATACCGCTTAGGCCTACTAAGATATGATGTGTATTGATTTTACATTCCAGTAGAAGGAATAGTACACATGTGACTATTATGTTTGGTTTGTCTTTTTTCCTTCTAGTTATCATTAGATTAAAACAAGTTTGGTGGTAGCACGGTTGCACTACACCTGCACAGACACGGCATTCTGCAACTAGTGAAACCATTTGAAAAACAACCTGCATCAATGTTGACCAAGTCAGGTTCAGAAGCATTCCAACTAGACAAATTAGATATTTTGTTGGCCTCCTTAGTTGTGGTCTTGTCAAAAGTTGGCACAATGATAAGGACTGAAGAAACTACTAGTGCCACTTTTAGTGGTAAGGAAGAACTAAGGAAAATCACTCAAAAATTGGTACAGCCATTTTTGTCCTTATTCAATTATTGAAACGACATCTAGAGGTTTTCATAACAAGTTTAAATTGCAGAATTTACATAAGATATAATTGTACTTATGATATTTATTTTTATAAACGACCTTAAAACAAAAATAATATTTATATATGAAAAATGTATAATTCAAAGGATATTAATTTTCTTTATATAATTTTTTAATACAACTTCACTAAAATAGCAACTTCTTATATATGTGGAAAAAATGCGCGTCCGGAACCCGTGCATACATTAGTTACAAACAAGATAGGTTCTGGTATTAGTTATTTCCAGCTTATTTTTCTAATAGTGACTATTCACAGTTTACTTTATATACAATTCTAATGTCATGCCTTTGCGATTCACAAAATAAGTTCATTTCACTGAACAACATTTCCTAACAAGCTGTTTGTTGAAGGTGAGCTAGGTCTACTTGACCAAGTACCATGAACAGATTCAGGGGAACTATCCTTCACTTCCTCTATTGTTTGCAAAAAACTATTAGTCTTTTGTGGAACAACCGGTATCTCATTCTTCGAGACTAAATTCTCATTTCCATTATAACGAGGTGATGAACACCCGGATCCAACCGATGAGCCTAAGCATATAGTTTCCTCCATTGTCGCCCATCCGCTACGTCTGATATGATCTAACTCCTCAGCAACTTCAATCATACTAGGCCTCGATTCACTATGAAAAGCAAGGCATCTAAATGCAAGCTCAGCTACCTTGTTAACAGAATAGAGTGTCCATGCATCTCTATTAAGATCAAGGAAAGGATCTATGATGTCGTCGACACGGCCTTTCCTAATCTTTTCAACAGCAAGTGCTGCCAAATTAATCTCACTCTGAGGTCTACCAAAATCAACGACTTTCATCGCTGTTATTATCTCTACCAAGACAACTCCGAAACTATAGACATCACTTTTATCAGAAAGATGAAAGTTTTGATGGTATTGTGGATCAACATAACCCGGAGTCCCTTGTGGCGCGGTTGAGATATGTGATATTTCTGTCATGCCAAGCCTAGAAAGTCCGAAATCCGCTACTTTTGATTGAAAACTAAAGTCCAATAGTATGTTACTAGATTTTATGTCTCTATGATAAATCGGAGGATTTGAAGAATGAAGAAATGCTACAGCATTAGCAGTTTCAGAGGCAATGGTGAGTCTTATTGTCCAAGGAAGTGTTCCACCTCTTTCCCTTTGTAAATGTTGAGATAGTGTTCCATTTGGCATATACTCATAAACAAGTATGTGTTCTCCTTTTTCTATGCAGCAACCTAAAAGTCGAACTAAATTCGGGTGACTTACCGAAGAAAGGAGTTTGATTTCATTCATGACTTGGTCAACACTGTTGGTGTCTCTATACCTGATCTTTTTTATAGCAACTAATTCATTGTTGTGAAGGTTTCCTGCATAAACCGTGCCGTAAGCACCAGTTCCTAGCCTGTGTTTCTCAGAGAAAAAATTTGTGGCCCTTTCTACTTCTTTGTAAGGATAGAGAGGAACAATGTAGTTTCCTGCGGCTTCTCTTAATAGGCGCCTTACTGTCAATTGTTTTGTTAGCCATGTCGATCGGCGATTTGCAAAGTAGCATACTAAAGACAGTGCAGCCGTCACTAAGGCTCCAACTACGATCACTGCAAACAATCAAGTAGCATTGGCTTATTTTTGAAAAAGAAAAAAAGTGAAGAAAGAAATCAGTCCAAAATTGGAAAATAGTGAGATTGTACCTCCAAGAAGTAAACCAATTCTGAGTGCTTTTGCACATTTGCTAGACCCAAGTGTTGAAAGAGTGCATTGTGAAGCTGATGAAAATGCAACAACATAAAAAATAATTAGAAACGTTACCAATATTTGGCACATAAAAAGTTTCTTTTCCAAGGAAAAATCAAAGAGTTAGTCTTGCAGTTACAATATGATGCAGATTATTCTTTTACACCTTGTATAATTTTACTCTTCACACCAAAACAAAGAAATAACATCATCATTAAATAATTCATATTTGAACAACAAAGTCAGTGAACTCAGATCCCATATCTACGGACTAATTTGCAGCTAGATCTGGTGTATCTAGTAATGTTCCTTGTTGATTTTGTCAACAATATTTTACTTAATTTTTAGCTTTTCAAGAACTCGTACCATACTCAATTTCTATTATCCGAAGAAAAACATGAATCGTCCATTTGCAGGGGGTCTTATTTAAAGTCAGAGCTCTGTATAGACTGGCCCAATAGAGAAATTGTAAGTACATAGCGGGATTCAACCTAAGACTTTAAGAAGAGCACACTCTCAGGATCAAAATCTCCACCAACCGGTCAATCCCTGGGTTATATAAAGGTAGATCGGAACCAACTGATTTCAAAATAATGACTAAGATCATCTAATACACTCAACTACATGTTTTTCTAAATGTAAGGAATCATCCTGAACTTCAAAGTTCCATGTCAATATCAGGTATTCAGGCTCATTTTCTAATCCTTCACATGATGAATATATCAGTCACCAACCTCTCCCCTCTTTGACCAGATATAATGAAATGAAAAAAATATCGATGAAACCTGGCATGTGCATTACCTAATATAGGTCTATAAATAATTCAAATAGGCTACCAGAAAATGTTGACATTGAAGCATTCTTTCTTGCAAGTTATCATTCAAATTTTAAAACAATATACTCCCTCTGTTTCAAAATAAGTGTTGTGTAAGGTTTTTGCACACAGATTAAAGAATACAATAATATTGTCATAAGACATTGCACTTTTACTAATAATTAAATGACACAATTGAAAAATTAACAATCATTGCTACATTGAAAAGTGAGAATGACATTCATTTTCAAACAATTTTTTTTTCTAAAACGATCGGTAGTAATACCAAACAATGTTACAACAGCTAAGCAATGAGCATTAACTATGTTCCTATATTCTCTGCAAAGTTATGGTAGCTAATATAATCTCGCATTAAATATATAAAAAAAAAAGCCAGTAACCAATTACCACAGCAAAAGAGAGAGAAGAAGATATAGATAGATACTACACTACATCAGAACAGTGAAACTTATGTTGAAATAATCAATATACCACTCATGTCCCCAACAAATAAAATGTCATCATAATTGACTTTCATAAAGAACACAATTATCTCTACAAGCTTCCCTCAATCTCAATCCTAAAATTCTGATTGACACACTGTTATAGTATTATATTTTCATTATTCTAATCAACCTGGTTGGGCACAGAATAAATCATCAAGCTAGGAACCACAAGTCAAACATCAATTTGTCTTTGTTCAACAATTACTTATTGCCATCCATTATAGCCGCCATCATTATCTTAATAAGTTTAGCGTGCAGTAAATACTAACATGATCATCAGAAATGATCATCAGATGATGAGAAGCCAAACAATTAAAGATAGAGAAAGACATAGAAAAACTAGCCGATAAACTATGAAAAAAGATTTTGAGATTAACTAATAGGATAAAACCATGGTATTAAATAAAACATTATGGCAGAATCCCGCATATAAGATATTATTTTAAGAAAAAGGAGGGGACTAACCTCTCCGGCAACCAGTACCGTTTATAAATCCATCTCCGACTAAGCCTTCACGGCAACGACACCGGAAACCTAGTTTTCCTCCGGCAAGATGAACCTCCGTACAATTAGCATGATCAGAACATAAACAAGAACCTTCAAGCCACCACCCTAACTCAAGCACCTGAAACTGAAGCAGAACGCCATCGACTGTGCTGTTATCAACAGCAATAGCAGAGAACAAGGATTGACATTCAGTTCCATTCCAATCATCAAGCGTAAGAAAATCCTCACGCGTTCTCCGCTGCGATCGCGTGAAGCAAGTGATGGTATCACTTTTTCTTGAATCACAACCTTCAACATCTATCTGTGTTCCAGCGAAAAACGAAGCTGGAATAACACAACCGTTAAGAATAGAGCTACATCTCTGAACGAGGAAGTTGTTGTTCCATGTTGGAGCATAGTTTTTACCGAAAAGCGGGTATATGAAACTGGTGCTACGGTTGCATTTAGCTGGTAGAGATATGAATATGCTATCAGAGTTCAGTTTTTGAACACTTAAGTTTCCAATTTTGATTTGATTGTTGCTGCAGGTTAACTTGATTTTGCAAGCTTCTGAGAATCCGAATGGGTAGTTCACGGTTTGTTCTCCGCATCTTTGGTTGCAGTGGTTGTTGTTTTGATCAGCAGTTATTCCTGTTATGAAGATTGTGATGATGATGAGAATAGAAAGCTTTGAGTTGTGATGATGATGGTGAAGGAACATTTTCTGATGAAGAATATTAGAAAAGGAAAATATCAGATATTTTTATTTGATTTAATTTTGTTTTATTAGGAAAATATGTAATGAAATTATTCAATAAATGCTGAATAGTTATAGTTTTATATGCATACCTTTAATTTAAGTTCCAGGCTATGCCAGCAATAAGATTGGAAACTAATGGGTGTGATTCATGAAACAAGTGGAAGATTGAGCTTGAAATTGAAACTGAGTAAGGTAAAAAGAAGAGTTAATTATTGTCATGAACTTGTAGTAAGAAATATAAGTGAGGAATTGAGGGTTTTTTTAAGAAGCTACTTGTGTTATTGTTGGGTGGGACTAGATGTATTGCAAGTGGAGCATAATAAAGTAGGCGTTCTTATTTTCATTTTGTGTATGATCACAAGTCACAACTTTAGCTTGGTTGGCTTATTCTTTTTCAGTTAAATAAAAAAATTCCACCACTCTTTGGAGATTAAGGGTGAGTATGTTAAGTCGCTTGGTCTACTTTGATTTGGACATTCTTATAGGTTACTTGTTCACATTCAAGTTCTTACCACTATCGTGAGTCTTAAAGTTTTCATCTTTGAAAACCTTTTGGATCTTACAACTATTTCGACTTTCAATCATTCAAAGTAATAGTTCATTGTTTATTATAAAGAAAGACATTCTTAAAATTTTTAAAGAATACAGATAATAAGTTCAACAAGATTAGAGCATTGTCATCTTCTTTAATTATTACATTAATATTCTTTGAATTATCATTGATCTTGTGAAATTCTTTCAACGACTCGTTTATTAATTTTTTCTTTACCATTTGAAACAATTAAAATTATTGTTTCATAAATAACCTATGAGCTAAAGACTTGGTCTTATATAATTATTCAAGTTTTTTTCACATCGAAGCTACAGTCTTCTCTCCGACAACTTTCATTAGAACTCTCGAGACATAAGATAATGTTACTTATGGTCTTATTCATCATCTTGATCTTCTTTGCGTGTGTTAGGCGCATGAGAATAGATAATGTACCATTCAATTCTTCAATACACTTTTCTTGCGTTAAAATTATTTGCACATTCACTTTTCAGAACCAAAAAACATTGTCGTTGGAAATTTTCTCAATATGCCATTTGAAAGTTATGACGATCACTTGTAAGTAAAATCTCTTTTCTCCCATGGTGGGCAACACTTGTTGTGAAATTGAAAGGTTAAAATTACACTAAAAAAATTTATGTGTGGAGGCAAAGAACGTTGACAACCAAAATAAATCTCTCATATTCACTGTAATTCTAAAATTATTACAAAAGATTATAAATTAGTTACAAGAAAATAGTATCACAAATTTTCAAGAATATAGTCTATTTTATACTCAAGTATTTTCCAATTTCTCTAAAAATATATTTTATGAGTTGATTACAAAAATAGGGGTTACTCCCTCTATTTATAATTGAGTTTGCTTTCTCCCTAAGTCAAAATGTCCAAAATTAATAAAGCTCAAAATACTTATTTTAGACCTAAATCAAATATGTATGCAACAACATGCTTACAACACTTTGACACAATATAACTCAACACAACCTTGTATCTGTCGAGCAACATGCTTCGACACAAGAAATTACAATTTAACACACCACCTAATTCACTGTGTCTAAGCTCTATATATTCATCATAGCTCTTAGTCTTCTGAATACTTCGACCTGCACACCTTCGTCATGATGTTTGCAATCTGATTCTCAGTTCTGCAGTGTTCCAAGTTCATCTTCCCATCTGCTACCTGTTTTCGAAGATAGTGGAACCTCATTTCAATGTGCTTGCTTCGACCATTTTTCTATCGGGTTCTTCGACAAGTTGATAATTGACATGTTGTCGATCTTTATTGTAATTGCTCCATGATCTTTGCATGTTATCTCTTCGACCAAGTTCACCATCCATGTTGCTTGACATGCACAAAGAGAAGCAGTCATGTACTATAATTCACATAATGATAATGCCATTACTGGTTCCTTTCTCAAACTCCAAGCAATTGATGCACCACCTAGCATAAACACATATCCTGTTGTGGGTTTTCGATTCTTAGCATCACTACACCAACTTGAGTTAGTGTACCCCCACTAACTTGCATTCTTTTCCTTTATCAACTGCAGGAAATAAAATACCATAGTTAAGAGTTCCTTTCAGATACCTCAATATTATCTTCGCCGCTGCTAGGTGTGATACATTTGACTTTTGCATGAATCTACTTACCATACCTACATTGTATGCTAAGTCAGGCCTTGTGTGACAAAGGTGCCTTTGGGACCCAATAAGTCTTCTGTAGTGAGTTATATCAACATCATCTTCATCTGTATCTTTCGATAGTTGTAACCTTTATTCAGCATGTGTCAAAGTCGAGTTGCATTCTTTCATCTCAAATCTCTTGAGAATTTCTCATGCATATCTTCTTTGATGCATCATCAAATCTCTATTACTCAATTAAAATTCGATGCCAATGAAATATAAAATGTCACCCAGATCGAACATTTCGAATTCCTTGCTGAGATCACCTTTGAAGTCTTCGATCTCACTTTTGCAACTACCTATTATCAACAAATCATCGACATAGAGACATAGTATATGAAGATAGAAGTTCAAGAAATATACCTTAAAACTGAAAATCGTGAAATGGATTTGAGCTTGTTTCAGGCAGTGGTGATGATCAGGTTATCTTCCTTGGACCTCTAGGAAGCTAATGCAATGCTTAGCTTGAGTTGAGAGTGGATGAAATGGCCTGGAGAAGTCCAACTGCAATGCTCTGTTTTTGGCTATGGAAGTTGATGAAGATGATGTTACAGTATGCAAACAGGGACATGGATGGTTTATATTTGATATGAGGAAGCTTTTGAAACTAAAAGGTCGAGAAATGCACGAGTCGTTTTGAAGATTGAAGTTCAAAGTCAGAAATGACACAAAAATGGAGGTTTTGTGCAATCTGAGTTTTCAGGGAGTTTGGGAGTGTTTTCAATCGTGTGTTATGTTGTAATATGCTTGTGCATAAGTAAGGAAAAGGTTAGAGTACTTGAGGAGGTCAGAAGCACAAGATGTAAAGTTATGGCTATGTTACTTGATTTTGAAGAAAAGTGAAAACATGGTTTCAAGGCATAGTACAAGCATGATCTGAGTTTATGGAAGGCTCTAGACATGTTGCTTTTGTCTTTGACATTGCTTGTGATCAGAAGGAACAAGTGCAAAGCTCTATGCATTTACTTTGTGATTAAAGCTTCTTTACAAGAATGGAATGGTTACTTTGTGCCATAAATGGAAAATTTACTTGGATAAAGCTTGAATCAAGTGGATAATAGCTCAAAAACAAGTGTAATCTTCTGATTATGGAGAGATCTTGAGGTTTAGAGGCCTTCAAAGCAAGATTGTGCAGCATAGGTTTGAAATTGAATTCTTGTTCATCACAAAATGACTTGTAATTCAAGTTTGAAAATCCTAACTTCCTCTCTTCGATTCTCCCTTCTCAAGAATGATCTCAAGGAGTTCTTAGACATTTTGGAAAGCTTGTAATATGCTATACAACCCCTCTTTTAATCACTTTTTAAAGTTCCCTTTGGAACTATATGAAAAAGTGCCATGAAGTTAGGTCAAAATCCTGACCAAAACTAGGGCAAAATTTCATTGTGTTTAATTTCAAGACCATGACTTTATGAATTAATAACTTGAGATCCAAGCATTTTTAGAAGAAGTTGTGTAAAGAAATGTTGTATATATCACGGAGATCTACAACTTTCATGTTGAAAGTTTCTTCTGAATCCTCTTGCATCATGGTGAAAAATTGGCTCAAAGTTATGAAAAAACATGAAGTTTTAAACACTTAGAAAAATTTCTAAGTTAGAAAACTTTGACTTTTCAAAATGAAATCTTGACTTTTTGATTTCTTGATGAATAAGTTTCATATTTTGACATGTTTTAATGAATTGTGATCTTTGACATTGGATTTTGACCAAAAAGTCAAAGTTTGACTTTTTAGTGTACAAATGACTTTTGATCAGTTGACTGAGAATTCACTATCAATCCAATTGATCTTGAGCAATGTTTTAGGTCATGCCATTAGGTTAAAATGATGCAATTGAACTATTGAGATCATACTTCAAACCAATTGACCATTTGCTAGGTAAAAAATCAGAAATTGCCCTTTCTCAGTCAAAACCCTAATTTTGACCATTTTGCCCTTTTGATGATTTGATCCAATTTCTTGAGGAATTATAGTCCAAACTTGATTAAATGATACATATGAGTTTATAATGTTGATGTGGATCAAAAATTATAAATTTTGACTGTAAATTGGCCATGGTTAACTTTTTCCCCCAATACAGTTGATTTTTAGGTTAATTGCTCAATTGATTGAGCAAAAGTGTGATCCAAGGCTTGAAACTTGACATGAGTAATATTGGGGGTCCATAATGATTCATGAAATTCATATGAAGCATTGAAAATTTAATTATCCTTGTGCAATCTCAAACCCTAATTTTGGTCATCAGTGCTTAAGGAGGTGTCTTGAGCTGATCAACCCTAGTGCAGTCTTGAACCAAGAGAGATCTTTGTGAAAATATTTGATAAATGAGAGGGAAAATTTTAGGGTACAACAACTGCCCCTGTTCAATCTTCTTAAATCTGAAGAGTTAGATGGCGGATTCGCCATTCGTGACTTAAAGGTGAAAGATGATTGAACACTAGAGTGCCCAGAAATTTGCACTCGAAGATGGACGGTGAATGGGCTTATAGATGCCATTTGGAGGAATGTTGGTAAACACTGGAAGAAGTATCAACACAAACCTCTTGTTGATTTATACTAAAACTTGATGTTTTACCTATGAGAAAAAGAGTTAGTAAAATGCAGATGCCAGCATGATGTTCACCAGATGTGGTATTATATTAAATGCATATGGTATGTACATGCTATGATGTATGAATGTGAGATGTATGTTTTTGTTCGGGAAAATAAATCCCTGACTGCTGCTGA